CCTTCCTTCCTTCCTTCCCTCCCTCCCTCCCTGTTAAAGGTTTACCTTATTACCCTAGTTAAAAGATCTGTTGGTTTGCTACCACCCAAAAAATTATTTTGGGTTTCTTCTCTTTTCTTTGTTCCAACAAGAAACCGAATAATTATTTAATAATAATTCAAAATTGGTTGGAACCAGGTTCTCTTAATATTACCATATATCTATTAGGATTGTCAATCCCTGCTTCCTTGGTGTTAAATATGAAAGCTTTTTCCTGAGAAGCAGGGGTTGTCTCAGAGCTAAGACTCTTACTTCTCCTCAGACCTCTCTTTTCACTTACATCTCTCAAACCTCTTTCCCCTTAGTTTCATAGACGTCCCCACTTCCTTGGAATATAAACTGCAGGTGGTGCACCTGCCCTGCACCATCGTGTTTCGACTGATTGCTCCAATACCCACTCATTCCAAATATTAGAGTCAGCAAGTGGAAGGGGGTATGAATTATGTTGCCACCTATGAAAAGTATCCTAGGACACAGAGAGGGAAAGAAGGCAGGAGACGAGCATATTTCTAAGAGATTGCTCGTTCTTGATTGCTAAAATGCTTGTCCTTTCAATGTTTCTCCTTTTGACTGATGATGCCTTTTAAGTCATTCCACTGAGAGCAGGCTGTTGTGTGTGATTTTTGTTTTTAGTTCAGAGAGTTATGTACCTTGTGGGGTCCTTGGTGCTCTCTGAGCTTGGTTGTTTTCTTGAAGATGTTTCACTATCCAACTAGGTAACATCACCAGTGCTACAAGGAATGGGATTTGCTCTCTGTTTATAGGGTTTGCGGCTGGCCCTAACAGTGGTGGTGAGTGTTCTTAGTGGTTCCTTGATTTGGTTCCATAATTACGAATACACTCAGCATTACTGACAGGACAAACCTCTGGTATATTAAAAGAGAACAAATCCCTTCTAGCACCGATGATGTTACCTAGTTGGGTAATGAGACGTCTGCAAGAAAACAACTAAGGTCAGAGATTACTAAGGACCCCACAGTTCAACCCTGAGCTACAATATTCTTTTCTATTAGTTATGTATATACAATACAAATGATAATAATAATAATAATAATTCCTACAGGTGCCACGTTATGTGTCATTTGCCAAGACCGAAACTCCCTTCGTCAAACTGTTGTCCGGCTGGAACTGGAAGACGAGTGGCAATTCCGGCTAAGAGATGAGTTTCAAACCGCCAATGCCAAAGAAGACAAGCCCCTCTTTTTTTTGACAGGACGGCATATTTGATAAGAAATTATCTGACATCCTCAAGGAGACTCTTCCAACCAAAAACAAGTTGTGAAAATAGTGGGAGAACTTAAATGTTCAGAGGAAGGGTTTTTTAAAAAAACCCATAATATGGACAAAAATGTAGGGAAATTTGAAATATCTGTAATATATTTTATTTGACACGTTTGTGTTTATAATTTCAGACTGTCTCAGTATCTTTTATAATTTAAGATGTTTAAACTGTTCTTTTTGTGCCAGGAGCAGAGTGGAATCACTGCTTGTTGTAGTTGAATTGTTTATAGGTTCCCCTTGTCTTTGTTTTGGTTGTATAAATTATAGAGATTATTGGTATAATTCAACATCTAGACATAGATTCCCTCCTTAACCTTTTGTTGAATTAGAAGTCAGTAGACAGAAAACACTCCATTCTTAGTATATAATGCAGCTGATAAGTGAACAGCTATTGGGAAAAAGGTTTGGGTAGAGTGCTAGAGGCAAAAACGAACTGGGTAGTTGTCCAGTGCAAAGTCCAATGAAATGAATGGGAAACAAGAAGCGCATGGCGGTGTGTATCAGACTTAGTGGGAACTGCAGAAAAGAACTGTCCAAAGGATTGTGCCTTATATTTCCATTTTAATGGACACTTAGGCCTTTACCTTACTCGTAATTTTGAGCATCTTCCACAATCACTCCTTGCCATTGCTGAGGTAATTCAAAGCCCGTCCTCATTACATTGAATAAGTCACAACACTGGGAGGCTGATTCTAGAAGATGCTACTGTAACGACTTCCCTCATCCTAGTCTCAGAACCTTTGTTCTAGATAATTTTTAAAGTGGGGCATTTCTAGGACCCTGGTAAGGAGATAGTTCCTTTCTAGTTTCCTCAATGCCTTCAACAATGACAGAGCTTTTAATATCTAATCTTATTGGAAAAGAGAGAGAGGGAAACATTGAGGGAAATATTCAGAGAAATATCTTGAAAGTAGCCCATATTCAACTGTATATCAACAAATGTTGACAGTTGACCACTGGACATGTTTTATGACATTTTGTATTATGCCACTAATGCTTTACGATAACTTTTATGTATAAAGTGTTTTTTTTTAATTTCAAGCCTACAAGAGTCATGGGTTCGGGATTTTGAATATATTTTGTAAATTAGCCCTTTTTGAAGTATCAATTTGCCTACAATGCATTATTCCATTCAGCTAAAGATTATACACAAAGTTTTAGTAATATGTTAGACAACCCATGACCCACTGGGTTATTGTTTCAAATATATTTTCTTTCCAGATTCCCTAAAACCTTCAACCATGGTAGACCTTCTAAATGTAATGAAAAAGTTTTTAAAAATTCAGGGACATATTCAGAGATGTATCTGCCTTGAAAGTAGCCCATGCTGGATTGTACAGCACAAACATTAGCAGCTGACCACAGGAAATGTTCTCTGACATTTTGTATTATGTATGAAAAAATACATTTTTTTCTAGGGTTAACAGCAGAGAGAAACTGCATCCACAGACCAGAGGCCTGCTTCAGTGCAATTTGAAGTGCAATTCATTTCCTGCTTATAGCAGTATTTACAGTTATCAGCACTGGAATGGGGATAAGGAATCATCAGATAGTTAAATGCTGGAAAACTTCATTCGTCAAAGAACTTGGCAATAAATCACAACAGGAAAAGGACAAATTGATTGTCCTCTCTTAACACCTTGATGGGCAACGAGTTCTTCATTTTCTTTAATTTAAATTAAAAATAAAATGTCTAATTTTCAGGAATGTTCTTGTAAAGAGTGTCAAACTAGATTTCTTCGAGGACCGGATCAGCATTGTAGTTCTCTGCGGGCTGGCAGAGGAGATGTGGAGAGGGAGGAGATCGGAGGGATGCTTTCTGCAGCACCCTGCTGGCTAAAATTGGGCTGCGGGGGGGGGATCGGGGGGGGATTCTACCAGTTCACACCTATTCGCTAACACCAGTTGTTAACATTCTAAGCAGTTTGGAGAACCAGTTGTTAGAAAAAAATTACTGACCTAATCCTGTAAGGAAGGCAGGAAGGAAACATTCTGGTGTTGCTTACAGAAACTGTCTCTCTGTTAACCCTTATTACATTCTTGGCAGGACTAGACTTCCTGTCTCTGGAACTTCTCTGGAGTTTTTTTCCCCTCCTTTGTTGGTACTTTGCTTGTGTGGAGTGACCATTCAAAGTTACAATGGCACTGAAAAAAGTGACTTATGACCACTTACGACTGTTGCAGCATCCCCACAGTCATGAGAGGCCAGGCGAGGAGATGTGTGCCTCGATGTGAGTGATATTGATTTGGCCACACCTAGCCAATAACATGACTACCAAGCCATGTCCACCCAGTCACATGACCACCAAGCCACGCCCACCACTTAAGCCACGCCCACAGAATTGGTTGTTAAAAATTTGAATCCCATCCTTGGGTGCAATGCCCACCAATGGCCTCCTGCAGCACTCTGCCGGTCGAAAATCGGCTGTGGAAGGGGCGCATGATGCCCCTGTGGTTTGTTTTCAGCTTCCATAGCCTCCTGCATCACTCTGCCAGGTAAAAACAGACTATCCCATTTTGGCCGGCAGAGGCACTGCAGGTCAGTCCTTTGATATTTCCAGGCCGGCCCTGCGGGCCAGATCTAAGCACCCCATGGGCCTTGAGTTTGACACCCCTGTTTTAAAGGAACATGTCACTGCTTGTAATTCAATTTCTTCAAAGGCAAAAGCACATCATCTATATTGGCTGTGATCTATTCAGAGCTAAGCACTTTTAAATCCCACTATATTAAAAAAAACAACACACAACTATGCCTGCACTATTGAAATTAAGTTGTCTGGTCATTGGTGCTTTTTTTTTTTTTAATCAGAGCCCACACTGATTGTGCCCCATGACCTCAAGATACACTTAAGGTACACTTAATCAGCAGAAGATAGTGGATCACACACACATACACAGACCCCCCATAGTGAAATAAAATAATCCAAATGCAGTTTCCCATATTTGATCATTTTGAGAACCCACTTATTTCTTTGGGGAATAAAATCATGAGAGCTTCAAACAGTGTTAAAGATTAAATTGATGGCAGTGAGCTACAATTGTACAACTATAAAATAGTTAATAGCATCATGTCTGAAAGGACTTGTTACACAAAGAAGTTGGCATGTTGCTGTTATTATTTTTAGTGGGTCAGGGCTGTAAGAAATGCATCTGGATATCCTATACTAAACGGTATTTTTGCCACTTTCCATAACCAGATTCACATGACCTCCAGATGGCTTCTGCTGCCCCCTAGTTTATAAGGTTCATCTTGGATGAATCATCATATTTTTAAATATTAGTTTTATCATAGTCTAGCAGAACCCCAGTAGGGTTTTTTTGAACAACCCTACAGTTACCAACTTCCATCTTGCACTACATCCCCTTCCTCGCTCTTAATAAACCTCTGAATTTTTCATCCCGATGCAAAACGTTGGTAGTTATTTTTCTCTGGACACGTAAACACCTTTTCCAGGAGGCTTATGACTTAGCAGGGCGACTTGAGGAGTCAGCTGCCAAGCCAGCGGGTACCAGATTACACAGCTCATGTTTCTCTTCCAGGCTAAGGTTCCAAAAACATGAGCAGGCTAAACTAGCAAGCGAACAGAATTGCTGGGAAATTATTCTGTCTGCATCTTTGTTGTCAACCAGCGCATTGCTTTAAGGCTGGATTTTTGTTTCAGGTTGAAACTTAAATCAGGGTTAACGTCCTTGGTACCATAGCTGCCTCTGGCAATGGAGGAAAAGAATCATCTCAAGATGCCATCTGAAGATACAGAGTCCCCTTGGTCCTGGGTAAGGCCCTCTGATCGAGAGCAGAAATTAGATGTTGGAGTCAGAGGGCAGCTTGGCTCTTTATTTGCAGATTACAGGCTCAGAGCGCAACCCTGGTCATATTGATTCAAAGCAAAGCTCTGTTGAATTGGTGCAAGGGGGTAGATAGGTTTTTTTGGTTCCTTTAGTTTTCAGCTTGGAGGAAAGATGCATCCTTTAAAGTTGCATGCAGTTTAAATAGTATATATTGTTTTGTTTTCTTTCAAACTTATTGGATGTCATTCTAGTGGACAAGCCTGTCTCCTGAAAAAAAACTACTTTCCCCATTTTAATATTGTTGGACTATACAGAGACATTGCTTTAATTCAGGGCATGTTTGGCCAGCTAAAGTCTAATTTCATTCTGAGTTTTGCAATTTTTGTATAGCTAAAAGAGCAAACATGTTAAAGACCGCTCTGAGATGGATCTTGCTTTCTGAAAAATGTGAACTGCTACTGTTTTTGAAAAATAACAGTAGGGAGATTGGATGTTGCAAGCTTTATCTTGTATCACTCCTGCAAACTTTCATAGTAAGGGACAGGCAGGAAGGTTGGGATGACACTTGAAACATTTGCAAAACCTTGCAATCAGCAAGGTTTTCTGACTCCCGATGGTCTAATAATAGCAACTCTTAAAAAGCCTAGCCTCACTCCAAAATACAATTGTTGGAGAGGGCAGACTAGTAGGATTGCATTTTTTTTTTATTTTTGAGAAAAAACTTGTAAATTTGCTTTTTGGATCCAACACAAATTTTCTGTGGTAGTTAAAAAGCACACTGAACCTTAATTCTTCCTGTGCTTTTCTCTACCTGAGTCAGTTTTCCACTTAACTCAGTTCATTACACCTCTGATAAATGGAATAGACTTTGCAAGTGTGTCCCAGTTCTCTGCTTCTATTAAGATTTATAAAGGGGAGGTAGATACACGTCGGAATCGTTCTCTTGTTAGGAAATGCTTTTTCAATATTTCTTGATGGGTCTGACTGAACAGTACAGTCCATGATAGACAATGCAGATAGGGATGTGAATTTGACACTCACAGTGTATGCGGAATATGAATAAAAGGATTAGAAAGTTCTGTAATGCTCGTTTTCAGGTGGTAAATAAGTGATTCAGAACAAAAATAGTCTTGAGTCTTCTGTTGGAGTTAGTCTTGCTAAATGTCTTAATGATGGATGAAACTGTACCTGAAGAAGAACAATAAGGGTATGGCGGAGATATAAGATTAACATTTTACCTTTGTGTCATATGATAGGTGAAAACTATAAACACATAATATCTTTAAAGGTAAAGATATAGGAATGTGATAGATAGGAATGAAAGAGATATCTTATTATCATTCCTCTCCCTTCCTCTCTCCCGCCTCATATATTTTTGGAACCATCTATCTACCTAGTAGAGGCTTTCTGGATGGTGTACAGTAAAATATTGGAACAGGAAATAAAAGTTAAAATTTAAATAGAGGCAAGGATGATTAAAAACAATGTTAAACACAGTCGGATGGTTGCATTCTCCTCTGCACCTCCCAAGCAAGGCTGCAATGCCATGTTTTCATTCCTTTCAGGAGGGCCACCTCCCAAGCTCACAGCAAAAAAGAACTTTCAACATAGAATACAGGTGGTCCTCAACTTATGATCACGATTGAGCCCAAAATTTATGTTGCTAAGTGAGGCATTTGTTAAGTGAGTTTTGCCCCATTTTGTGACCTTTCTTGCCATGTTTGTTAAGTGAATCCCTGCAGTTGCTAAGTTAGTAACATGGCTGTTAAGCAAATCCGTTGACTCTGTTTGCCAGAAGCTGGCAAAAGGTGATCACATTGCCCCGGGACATTGCAACTGTCATCAATGTGAGTCAGTGGTCAAGCATCTGAATGTAAATCCTACTGCCCATGGGGATGCTGCAACGGTCATAAGTGTGAAAAATGGTCATAAATCACTTTTTTCATTGTAACTTCAGTCACTAAGTGAACTGTTGTAAGTCAAGGTCTACGTTTATCTGAAGCTCAGGGTTGAAATGTGGCGTTGCTCTCTGGGCTGGGTGTTTGCTTGCAGATGGTTCATTACCCAACTAGGTAGCCTTACCAGTGTGTGTTGCTTAGTGTCTGTGGATTCTGGAGGAGTGAAGAGCAGCTTACCACAAGTTGCTCAGATGTTAGTCTTCATCTCATTGGATCAAGCTAGTGGCCTGGAAATTGTTTTGCAGACCACCAGAAGATTCTGTGAAGGTGAAGAGGAAGGAGCTCACCCTGACTAACAGAGAAATGGCGCTTTCCCTCATTGGCTCAAACTAGGAAAGCATAAACAGTCCCAGTGAGGAGATTTGTGTAATGTCAGAACATTCTGGGAAACCAAAGAGGAATTTAGCATTGCTTATTATGCTTGTTGGTTTGAGGTTATTGCATCTTGATTTATTTAATAAGGTTTTGAGGGCTTTTGTTCACTTGTATTTCTTGGGTGTTACCTGGGATGTATTTTGATACAGGATTGTGGTGTCCCTTTCAGAACTTGTGTGGTAGTGAGTTACATACACACACACACACACTCATTAGCATTGATGTTATCTAGTTAAGCAAGGAAATGTCTGCAAACAACCAAGCTCAGCGAGCAACACACATACATACACGCACATACATACTCACGCACAAAGTACTTGAAACACAGACTTCAAATGTTCTTTGGATTGGGCACTATAGAAATAAATATAGGACAGAAATGCAAATAATGCTGAGGTTTGAAAATGTTGCCAAAATGGAACTGATGACTCAGGTGAATCCTAATTTATGGTAAGAAGTTGATATTTTCAATAATCATATGGAATAGATAACCCTTACCGTTGTGATTGTGGATAGCCTGAGTCATTTTAGTGTATGTGACCCCGAATGGCAAACAGAAGGAAAATTCAAATGATACTGTCATGACATTGAACATTATAATCATAACCTCAGTAACCGATGACTTGTTATCTTTGCCATCTCAGACTGACAGCTGTGTCATAATATATTTAGCCCATTCACTTGCTTTTCATTGAAAGCCTCTATTGAATCTACTGTCTCCCCTTTGTGTTTTATGTCAAACGTCAACATGGGTGTTCACAGTAGCATCTGTTGCTGTATGTTTTATTTTAGTGACTTTTAAGAATGGGAATGTCACATAGATATTGCTTAGATATTGCTTTGAGCTTTCCTTTCCTTCTGACAGCTTTTTGAAAAACAAACTTTAGAATAATCCCAACACAGAAAAATAATAGACAATGTACAAAGTATTAGTGCGCTGAAATGCAATTGGCAAAACATTTTCTTTAAAAAAGTAGGAGTAAGAGAAGATGTTTTCCTTGGGAAGGACAGTAAATCCTTCCAGTGGAAAGCTTAAGTAACATCTTTCAGAAGTCTGCCGGTCTAAAATTAGCATGACAGGGGAATTAAATTATTCCTTCAGGCTTGGGCTTCATCAGGTGATTCAATGGCACATGACGGAGTGTAGATTTGGCTGCCTGGACTCTGCAAAACTTGATATGGATCAGTAAATTCCTGGGAAGAATTTTTGGAAGCAGATTTTCTTCTACGCTATTGAAACCCTGATAGACGGGACAAATATCCTTAAAGGCAGTGCAATATTAGACAAAGTGAAAGAACCGCTAATTCCTTCTATATCTGTGCATACGCACAAATCTCTGAAGTGCTGGATGGAACAATGATAAACGGGTCATTTCACAACTTAGCAGGTCTAAGAAAAAATTGCTTGGGTTGGGGTCCAGTTTCACAGCAACTCTCAAGATCCTGTTCTAGAGGTCACCAAACTAAAAACAAAAAGCAATTTATTAATTATTAATAAATAATTTATCTATTACATAGTGTAAAAGTACCAATACTGTTTACTCAGTTTGGTTTTTTATGACAGTAATTCAGTGGAATTAGCTTGAAATGAACATTTTCTATGCATTGTTCTTACTAAAAAGCAGAACTGATTTTTTTATTCACCTAGCAATACTGAGTTGAATGTCTGTGTACACACACATATACACAAAATCAGTTTTTACAATAATACACTATAACAAAGTAAAGATATAATTATACATCTTGCATCTATGCATTCATTTCCCACATCACTTTTCTATTTACAGTGCGTAAGTAAAAAAAAAATGTGCTGTGTTGAGTATGATCCTATGGCTATATAAATATTGAATAGAACAGGACAAAGGGTGGGTTAACAGCTGTCCTTCCAAATTTATTTTACCTGTTGTGATTTATCGCAATATTTCAAAAAGTTTATTTTTAGAATCTAAGCACATATTCCCAGTGATTACATTCTGAAAACCCCTCCTGAGCAGTGGTGGGATTCTTTTTTTTTTTTAAGACCGGTTCTGTGGGCATGGCTTGGTGGGCATGGCAGGGGAAGGATACTGTAAAGTCTCCAGTCAAGAGGTGGTATTTGCCGGTTCTCCAAACTACTCAGAATTTCCACTACCAGTTCTCCAGAACTGGTCAGAACCTGCTGAATACCACCTCTGCTCCTGAGTCTCATGAATCAGAATTCATAGCTCACAAAAAAGGCAACTATGATCTTATAGACAACGATTTGTCATCCTTTGATTGGCAATTTCTATTCACTGGATGCAATACTGTTGAAGACCATTACAACATATTTTTACTTGAAGTCAAAAGAGTCATCAAACTATATGTACCAATAACAACTCCAAAACCAGAAAAAACAGATTACCCATAACAATAAGGAAGCTTCAATCCAAAAAGAGATAACTTTGGTGGAAAAACAAATCTGGTTATGTTGCCAACTTCAAAAGCCAATACAAAAATTTATGCCACCAGATAAAGACTGAATGCACCAATTATCACATTAAACAAGAGGAAAACCTTCTACGCACCAATTCCACCCGCACTTTCTACAATTTTGTAAACAACAAACCAAAAGACTCAAGGTCCATCCCACCCCTGAAAGGACCTAATGGTAAAGACTGCAACGACAACACT